AAACATCTAGATAATTTCGAATTATGTATAAAATATGATATATCTTTGAAGCTTATTCAAAAAGAATTTCGAAAAACGACACAGATCATTGAAAATAATAAAAATAAAAACTATGTTTAACAAAAAAAATTCATCTCTTCATGGATTTGTAATATTATCGCCCAATTTTGACCGACCTGTTAATATTTAGCAACACAGATTAAGAAATCAGGACGAATATTTATTTTTCGATCACTACTGTTGGCTACAAAAACAACATTTCTCGATTTTTTTTAAGCCTTTACTGGGAGAAAATCTCCGGTAAAACATTTATTTTGTATTGAATCTCGCCGAGTTTGTCGTAAGATCGGGTTAAGGATTAGGGTTTCAGACAGAGTGAATAACGAAAGAAGCGCCGACATCAAACAAAAAAATTGGCTTACATCACTCAAGGAGTTTATCTCTATTTATAGTCATGTTATCATTGACATGTTTTACATCATTCAATCAATATATTTCTTTATGGCCCAACAATTGCCATTTTGTTCAAATGTCTTAAATATTTAGCACATATCTTTATTTATTAACCAAATACAATTATTTATTTTGTAATATTTTGTTGGTATTTTTATAATATTTTTATTTTTAAATTTCCTATATGATATTAATACAATAATTATTTAAAAAATAAAATCATTATATGTCTTAATTTGAAGATAGTGATTTGTAGTGATGGAGATTTTGTTGATAGAAAACCACAAACGTTGTATATAAAGAATTGTTTAACAATATTTAGTTATTTTTTTTTAAACATTTTTCCAATGATAATATTATAATTTTTACTATTGTTTATATCTTTTTATTATTTTTTGTTTTATTATAATGCTTTCCGTACAAATGCACGGGTTAAAAACTAGTCAAATTAATAATAGTAATGTTGTAGTAATAGAGATGGCCCCGCCCGTGACGGGATAAATTAACGTACGTAGAAGTAGTAGTAGTGTTTAATTAATTAAGAGTGTCTGGTACGTGAATAAATTAACCATCTCAATCACTTGATTTTGCACAATTAATCAGTAATATGTTTTCAACAAAAGGTTACGTGATTCTATTCACATGACTTTAACTATTATTAAAAATTTGGTATGATCTTAAGCCAATAAAATAATAATTAATTAAGCCCGTGCAAGGATTGTACAGCTTAAAATTGATAATGAATTCAAAAAAGTTTGCCTCGTTAATGATTTGAATTATATTAAAAGTTCATGAAATTGTGTAAAAAATCATACTTACACAATTTCATATTATTCAAACTTAATGAGTCTTCAACACTCAAACAAGTCAAATTGAGTCGAGTGACTCGTTTCGTTTAACAAACGATGAGAATCTATTTTATAATATATTCTAATGTAATAATACCTGTTTTTATTATCATTATTAATCTACAATTATCTATATTTTTTGATTTTTTTTTTAATAAGATGACTTATTTAATGTAACGATTTTTCACCAACGTTTTATATTTATTTCCTTCAATAATTAGTAGCTTACCTTTTAATTTCAGCTCCTATAAATTTTAAGAGTTTACCAATGGGCTGGATGAATGTGGGCTACTTAAGTGGGCTCAAATTTTGGACTACTACTGGTCCAGTTGACAGTAATAGACTGTGTAGTTAAGCAGCAACAATCATGAGAAGTTGGGACTAATGCAATCTTATTTCCATACCATAAGACTAAAATAAAAATGTTAGAATGTCATTAGTCATTAGTCATTAGTCATTACTAATTTACTACACCTTTTTTTGCTTTTTTTCTTTTATGTGGTAATCCCACTTTCTAGTGATTGGTGCTTATTAGTACCAATTATTTTTCTGTCAATTATTTAACACAGAAAATCAGACCACAGCACTTGCTTTAAATTTGTCGCTCAAATTTGATATTTCCTCAATTTGTCATTTTTCTGACTAAAAATTAACAAAATTAAAGCTTTCCACATGCCCTCGTTGACCAACGTCAGACGGAAACAGTAAGATTATCCATGGCCGGCACCGGAGCTACACCTTTCTCCCTCGGCATCTCGCCGTTGAACCCCAGCCGGAACAAATCTATCGCCGGAGGGAAGCTCCAACCCATCGCAAACCCCAATCTCTCGGTTCTTGCATCAGCGGCGCCCACAGAAAAGCAGTTGCCGCGGCAGGCAGCTCCAGCAGGCGTCGCCGTTAACGGCGTCTTTCGGCCAAAGCCGTCAGCGGAGACGAAGAACGGGGCGTTGACTTTGAAAGATTACTTCGAGCAGTCGGTCGAGCTGATTAGCAGATCCGACGGCGGACCGCCGCGATGGTTCTCGCCTTTGATCGACGGTCAACGGCCAGGAAAATGTCCTGTCCTGTTCTCTTTGCCTGGTGCGTCTTACTTTCGTTATTATATATATTTGTTGTATATTCACTTACTCTACACATAATAGCTGCTGCTGCTGTCCACGGGCAGAGTAACTGGATGAACTGTATGTTTGCGTTATCTGTTATTACATCTGTCGAAATTCCGTACCAATTTTACATTAATAATATTCTCCTCAATTAAATGAGCTAGGTAATGAATGTATCTTTAGTACGAAAAATTATTAGTGTTCTGATTTTTCAGGGGTTGATGGAGTTGGACTTGGACTTTTATTGCACCATGAGAGGCTTGGCAAGTAAGTTTCTTTTTTTTTTTTTTTG